AAAAGAGAATTTGTTGGTGAATTCTGGTCAAAAGCCAAATTAAATGTACCATGAAGGGAAAACCAGGAGGTCAAATACTTTTTATAGGCTCTGTGTATTGCATATTGTGTCTGTCTGCTGTACTGATGAAGTTCTGAGGCTCAGAAATGATGGAAAAAGTCCATTAAGGTGATCAATCTGGACCCTCCTCTGTGGACTTGAAGGACCTGGACCTCTGGAACATTCACAGTCTGAAGGTAGAACTCTGGTCAGTAGATGAAGGTTACTGTAGATACAGAACCAGATGTTCTGAGGATGTTGGGGAAACATTAATTAATTAATTGGTAAAACTAGAGAGATTTAAATCATGTAAAAGTAGGTTTAAAGTAGCTGTGAGAAGTAACAGCCACAAGCTCAGTGTTCAATATGTTTCATAACAAATCTGATTATTTATGTCACGGTCGGAGTAAAACAAGTGGAACATTTGGATTTAACTTTGTCAGCCTGTTTTACAATTAACTGAGCTTCTGGCTGAACGCTAGGACGGAGCTGCTGCTGCTACTGTGTTTTCCTTTTCCTTTCTCTGCAGAGTCATTTGTGGAAAATGTCTTTATGAGTTCCTACTGGGCCTGCGAGACTAATAAGATCATCTGGAACTGATCGGGATAAGTGCGGGGTAGTTGCGGTTGCTATTTGAAATTTCCACTCCAGTGTGTTTGTGTTGCCTCGATAAGCTCTGCTGGCAGAACGGACGTTTAGCAGCCAACCAGGAGGCAGCAAACAGTTAATGTCCTTCATTTAGACACGCTGTCCAGGCCGAGCTCAACGTTTTGTGTGGATTTCAGCGTGTTAACAGGCTGAAGGAGCGTCTGGGTGGAACATAAAGCTTTACGGGCAGCGTGGAGGTGTTGATGATGTGAAACAAGCAGGAACCAGGCTGAGAATACACAACCATGAAAATATGTGTCATCGTATTTATTGTGTGTTGACAGCAGAGACACACTCACACAGCGACCATGGAGACCGTACACTGTAAAAAATAAGCATTTCTGAACAGTTTATTATACAGATTTTCCCTGTTTTATTATATTGCAGATAATGTTTAGTAAAATCACAAAAAAACTGTAAAAAACAAACAAACAAACAAAAAAAGATCAAAATCCCCCATCCCAAAAATGTTTTGAAAATGGCAATTTGATCTTTGACCATGTTTTACTACAAAATCCTCTTTTTGTGTTTAAATCAGCAAAAATATCTCCATTTTGCAAACATTTGGATTTTTTTAAGGATTTATTTTTTCCATCATATTTTTTTCCATTATAAATAATATTTAGCAAAATTACAGAAAATCTTTTTTTTTTTTAAATATTTGCCTTTTTTTTTTTAAAGAAAAATTATTCATTTTAAGGATTTTTTTACTTCACATATTTTTTCTGTTTTTGTTTTTTTTTTTATAGACATTTTAGTAAAATCACAGAAAATGATTTGAAAAATATATATTTGCATCTTTTAAAAACAAAAATAATAAGTTTTAAGGGTTAAATTTTTCCACCGTTATTTTACATATTTTTTTCTATTTCATTACATTAAAATAATATTTAGTAAAATCACGGAAAGGGTATTAATTTACATGCTCATTGTGAAAAAACAATTGTTATTAATATCCAAATCTAT